GCCCTACCCCCCACCCGTGCTAGTCGGGAAGAACACACGTTGCTGCCCTGCACTCCCAATTGATGTGTTCTGAAGCAAGTAAGCAAGTTGTCTTTGTATCTGAGTCCCATGTACACTCTGACGTCTCAATCCATCCAAGGACGGCACCAAATTGTTGCATGAGCACGACGCAGCCAAGTCTGGAGGCAATTGCAGGCCCCGCCGGTCCGGCTGTGCCTGCCAGCTCGCGCATCCCCACGATCCCCCCCTTCATATACAGAGGTGATATTGTCTGTGATGTGTAGATACCGTATGCCGCCAGCCAGGTGGTCAAGCGGGTACCGCTGCCCGACATGTAAGTCGACAGCCCACACACTACTTCAGTATGTCCTTCGTAGGTACAGTGCACCGACCAATGTGCTGACGGCCCAGGTAGGAATCAGAGAGGGGCGGGGGATTTTGGAGTTCCAACCGCAGAACTTCGTGGATCATGCGCGGACGTCCCCCTCACACCCCCTGGACAAAGGCCGGACACAGCGCACTGTGCAAGCGGTTCAGCGCGCACTGTGGTGCATGAGCAAGGAGCGAGGCCCGACTACTGTCTCGGCCGCTGAGCTGCCCTGGAGCGCGCTGCATACCATTTCACTTCACAGCAGGCCATGCGCCTGACCCCTGCCAAACCCTTGAAGCCGAATCCCCAGCAGTGCCGCCCGCGGTGCAAGAGCGCCTGCACAAACTCCTGGACCTTGATTCTTGGCCAGAGCAGGCGTGAAAGGCCCTTGAAGTTTATGACAGCACCTATCCAGTTGCACGCATTCGCGAGCCGCAAGCCCCAGCGCATGTCACTCTACTAGTGACCCGCTTGCGCCCTGTGTCGGCCAATCTCGTCGGCAGCACAAGCGCATGCTGTGCTGCCTGAGCCGCTTCCAAGGGGGCACTGGCCAGGCGCAAAAAGCGCCGCCCTGGACATGGAGACGCTCCTGCGCGGCTGATAAGTCGTCAGGCGGGCTTGCGTGGCAGGGCGGGAAGGGGGGGCTGTTGTTGCAGGCAGCACTGGCGGCGGACAGTTGTTGAGCACAAATGAAAGCGCACACGTTGCCGGCGGTCTTGTTGTGCAGCAAAAAAACACAACGCATATACGTGTTGCGCGCCTGGCATGGCACAGCATGTGCGCCCTTGACGCGTTCACTGCCGATTGCCCAACCTTGGACCAGCACCCAGCACGCGCCAGCATGTCACTAGGCAATTACACAGCATCTGAAACACAAGGACGGTGCTGTTGTTACATTGCGTGAATCCGATCTCGGACAGATAGCTAAGATACTAATGCCGCGACTTCATTGCCATTGGCTCAAATGTATTCCAGCCCAAGCATGCGAGGCCCCGCGGGTGGTTGGTGCTTGAGCAACCAGCACAATTGTTTGTGCCTCAAGAGCGTGGACGGCGACAAGTGAGGCACGCCCGCAGTCATCGCTGGCAGGCAGCGCACGTCGTCAGAGTGCATCAGCAGATGGAGCGCGTCAGGCCCATGCCCTGGCAGATGTGGGTTGGTGGCACCTTGCAAACTGCTGGGTGGGCTGCCTGCCCCGCGGCAGACAGCCCGCCAAGCATGGGTTGCCCCACCTTAATGGCAACGACACCACGTGGAAATACCTGACGCCCTGGATCCCAATCGGTACAGATATATAGTCCAAGCTCACCGAGCTATGGAGTGGCATGGTCTGCACAGATGTATTGCCCACTTGCACCGTGTTGCAGAGTGGCATGCTGCCCTGCAGCTGGTTGGTGCTCAGGTAAGTTTGCAGGCTACCCAGAGGAGCCCAAGGACGTGGCCAGTGGCCCTGTGAAGGCGTTGGTGTCCAGGCGCAGCTCCTTCATCGCCGGCCACGCCGCTCTCAAGTCGGGGCTCAGCGTGCCGGTGAGCTTGTTGGCACTGCGACGCGGGGGATGGCGCGGTGCTTTTGTGTGTGTGTGTGTGTGCGTGTGTGTGTGTGTGTGTGTGTGTGTGTGTGTGTGTATTGCACAATTCGCAAGCCTGCATAGTCTAAGGAAGGCAAGGCCGACCTGCAGGTGCAAAGCTGGCCCCCCACCAACCCAACACAAGGGTGTTGTCTGGCATCAGCTCAGGGATGTGAGAAACTGGGCTTCCAGTTGCTGCTGGCGTTAACATACAGCAGACCATGAGTGCATTACCGCCTCAAATCCGCCCCTCACCGCGCAAGAAAATGGCTTAGATTCTTTCACATGACACCCCAACCGACCCCAACTTCCCCTACTGGCGGGCCGCGTCTCTGCCAGTACTTTTGGCAGCCGCCGGGCTGCGAATGCTGGCTATGCGCTCTTGCACGGAAGCAGGCCTCAGGACAGACTGATGTGGCTCGGAACCCGTTTGGAAAAGAAACCACAATCCCCACCAGGGCTCAGCGACCTGGACACGCTTCTCGCGTCACCACGCTCTCCGATTGCCGCCAGTTGGGCGTAGTTGCCCCTTCACTCTCAAACATGGCAGGGACAAATGTCTCACTTGAGAATTAGCATCTTGAGGTTGGTCATCTTGGCCCACTCCTTGGGCAGCGGTCCTGTGAAGTCGTTGCGGCCCAGGTCCAGGTCCTCCATTTGCGGCCAGGCGGCGCCAAAGTTGGGGCTCAGAGTGCCGGTGAGCTGGTTCGACCTAGGCGCCGGGGGAAAGGGGCCCACGATGCAGGGTAAGAGCTGGGGTGTATGTTCTGCGGGGCGGTAAAGGATTGCTTGAAATGCAGCTGGCCTCCACACTTTATCGACCATGCTAAAATCGCTACATGCCATCCACACATTCACACACACACACACACACACACACACACACTCACACACACCCACACACACACACGTCACACGCAAGCGAGCGGCCTGCAGCTGTTTCACAGGCCACCCTCCCCCTGAGACACCCAACATCTACTGGCAACCGCGCCTCTACCACCCGCCCCTCTCTTCATAAGACAACGGCCAGTTGTTTGTGGGAGGAACAGCAAACGCTTGTTGGAACAATAAAATACTCAGTCTCACTGGAGTCTCAGGTCCCTGAGCTTGCCCATTCCGGCCCACTCCGTGGGCAGCGGCCCTGTGAAGCCGTTGATAATCAGCAACAGCTCCTCAATCGCCCGCCAGGCGGCGCCAAAGTCGGGGCTCAACGTGCCAGTGAGCTTGTTGTTACTGCAAGGTGGGGGGTGACGCACAGCAAGTGCAAATGTGTGTGTGTGTGTGGGGGGGGGGGGTCGTGCTGATGTGTGTACTGTGTTGACATCTTGTGTGTGTCGTGGTCTTGTGTGTGACAGAGAATACTCAAGCGTGCGGGGCCGGCTTGCGGGCGCAAAGCCGCCCAAGCCCCCGACTAACCCGGCCCAGGGGTGTAGTCTGGCATCAGGGCAGGGCTGTGGGAATTCTTAATTCCCATTGCTGCTGGCTTTGACACACAGCACATAATCATTGCACCCCGCCCCTCGCCTGCCCCCACACAGCCCCTCAGTGCCCAATAGAAGGGCCTGTAGACGTTCCGCATGACACCCCACCCCAAAACTACGCGCACTGGAAATTTCGTCTCTGCCAGTGCTTTTGGCAGCCGCCCGGCTGCAAATGCTGGCTATGCGCTCTTGCACGGCAGCAGGCCTCAGGACCGGCTGTTGTGGTTCGCAACCCCGATGGGAATCACCGTAGACCAACCCCACCAGTGCTAAGCAACCTGGACACGCTTCTCACGTCACCACGCTCTCCGATTGCCGCCAATTGGGCTTAGTTGCCCCCTGCCTCCTCACTCTCAAACATGGCAGGGACAAATGTCTCACTTGATATTCAGCTTCTTGAGGTTGGTCATCTTGGCCCACTCCTTGGGCAGTGGCCCCGCGAAGCCGTTGACGCCCAGGTCCAGGTCCTCCATTCGCGGCCAGGCAGCGCCAAAGTCGGGGCTCAGCGTGCCGGTAAGCTGGTTCGACCTAGGCGCCGGGGGGAAGGGGCCGACGATGCAGGGCACGGGCTTGGGGTTCATGTTGGCAGGGCAGGGAACGATGGCTGTTTATGCAGCTGGCCTTTACACTCAGTCAACCATGATGGAATTTGCTACATGCCATCCACACATCAGCGCACACACACACACACACACACACACACACACACACACACACACACACACACA